CATGACAACCCTGGGATTGCTCATACACCGTTACAGGTTTCCCCTCCACTCCAGACCCTTCAAGGTCACTGGACTACTCGACTTCACTATTTTTGTTAGTTACTCTTAGTAATTTTGATATGGCTGCATAGGGTTTGCCTTGATTAATAAGCTTCACCAAGGAAAAAATGGTTTGATTCTTATAAAATGTAATTAGAAATAACAGCAACCAGGAAACCTGAAACACATTTTTAATGCAACCTGATGATTGTTTAATTATCTGTTTTTCTCTTTTTCTACCTTCCCAGGTGCCGGTAGCCATTACTATCAGCTTCACAGCAGTATGTTTTTTCATTGTGGGCCTGTCCCTGTACTCAGACCCCTGGAACACTGGGAGCAGCTGTGCAGTCACACTGTCAGGCGTGCCAGTGTACTACCTCACTGTGCACCAGCAGCGCTTACCTGTCCGCTGGAGAAATGCTTTCCGTGAGTGACGCAAAGGCCAAACAGTCATGCATGAGAGCAGCAGTATCATGTGACCAAGCAGATAACAGCACGTGATCTGTGTAGTGGTTTCTTCACAATCACAGCCCATCATTTTTCATAGGCTCATTTCTGCAACTATAATTAAAATATTACTGTGTGGTTTCATCATGTTTTTAGTTGCTGACCACAACCTGTCTATGTTTTTCCAGAATCATGCACCAAGCATCTTCAGATCCTAATGGAGGTAATTCAGGAGGAAGTCAAAATGTACTGAAGCCCTCAGATACTTGTAACTGACTTTGGAGACCTTTAGCTCAATGATAAAAGTGACATATTATAGGCCGAGTACATAACTTTAATGAAGTCGTTATTGTAAAGTATCTACAACAGACACCATTTTCATTGCTGTCAATGTCACGATAAGTGCTATTTGTAAAACTGTTAATGTTAAATACCATTCGGCATCCTCATAACTTTGAATATACATTATCTGTGATGCTGGTGCTGCAATCTGTCGGCAGAGGCAGGGAGCAGCCTGGATGGAACATACACACAACCACACACACCAGGCAAATTAGAGATACGCATTTAACTGCGTGGCTTTGCACTGGACGAGGAAAGTAACCTGGGCAGAACATCCAATCAGAACTGGAGAAGGATTCAAACCCCCTAGCTGGGAGGCACTAGGCAGCGGTGCCACCCAGTCATTAATCATAATTACAAATTATGCCATCACCGTCATAACCTGTTCTTATAAACTTCATTCATGAACGTATTAACTAACTATACAATACGGTACAATTTCTGGGACTCTGCCTGTGTTGTACAATAATACCCAGCAATATATCACACTTTCCCTTTAATAACACAACCCAGGATTAAATTACCTTTTTAATGGAAACACTGTAACGTGGGGAAAAATATGTACAATTGGAAAAATAAATTGCAGTACTGATAAAGCAAAGACTTTCCATCAATAAGTGAAGGTCTGGGCTGATGACGGAGGGTGACAAAGTCCAGCAGGAATTACTTGACTAGTTTTCCCATAAATGACATATTGGAGACTTCCATTCCAGAGAGAAGCACAAACAGAATTCTTTGCATATAATTTAAAAAAAAAAACCTTGTTATGAATGCATAGCAGTGCAGTTCTTATGAAATGTCAGCTTCAGTGATAGTGTTCAGTGTAATACACAGGTGTTTCTGCACCAGAAGACAGCTTCTGCCTTTCAGCACGTTTCCAATGTGACCACTGATTCGTGCACAGCCTACTTTACAAAAATGACATCTTGGTCTTCATATCCACGTAGATATTCAACAAGATTCATGGTTTAGGTCTCCATGCGAGTTGGACTGCTTTCCTAGAACTTGCTTACAGCTTTGAGGCACTGAGGAGCAGGTTCAAAATAGCGCAAGCGAGGAAACAAACACCAGGGTCACTGGGAACAAACACAGAAACACTCTACCTGAAGTATTTTGCCCAGAAACATGTCCTGGTCACACAAAGCAATTAAAGGGCATTGAAACAAAAACTCCTCTACTTATGGCAGTAATATTAGAATTTAAGTACAGATGAAGCCATAGATTTCTTAAAAAGCCACATAAAGATGGACATACAAGAAACTGTAGCCATTTAAAACGGGTCGTAAGGAGCCACTTGTCTTTATCTAAAACTTTAAAGAAGAGCCCTGATCACTACCTATGTACTCTTTAAATATCCTTTGCCTTTTCTTATTGTGGTGTAATATTAATGCATGTACAGAATATGAAAAACTCCAAACAGTTCAACAAATGGAAGTTACCCAGGATTTCTGTTTCCCAAGCATAATAGTGTCTTATTAGAGTTGATGTATAAATTTAAACTTTGAAATATGTAAATAAAATATACAGATTGTGCAAATAAAGATCTATTATATTTACATTTGTCAACAAAAGAGAAGACAAGCAAACAAATAAAAACAAGCAAACTATTCTAAAGACATCTTTCTTAAGACGGAACCAAGAGGCAGTGAAATGTACCTTTCCTGTGGCATGCAAAGAAAAGGCAGACAAGGGGGGGGGGGGGGGGTGTTTCTGAAACAATGGGCGCTTTAGTTCACTTAAGATCAGGGATGATTTGAGACCAGCTGATATTGCCAATCCCCAAGTCTTCACTATCCAGCCCAGGGAAGTCAATGTCCACCAGGATTTTGCTCAGGCTGTCGTTTGTGGTGTCCAGAACCAGGCCCTCAGTGATGGAGCGGTTGGCTGGGGCAGGACCAGTGCCTGACACCTGGGCCTTTGGGGAGGTAGGAAAGTCAGGCATGGTGTTCAGGAGATCGTAAGGGCCACTATAAAATGACAGTTCCTTGAAGGCTGCACTTGACGTGTTGAGAGGGTCACGGCTGGGCCGTCGCGGTGTGATGGCCGCCTGAATGGGACTGACGTCTGGCAGGCCGTGGTCTTCGGAACCTAGGGGCATGGCCTTTCTGGGACTGGGTGGGGTAGGGACAGGCTTGCTGGGGGTGGAGGACGCCGGGTGGGCACCCTTGACCGGAGTCTTAAAGGTGCACTCTTTTCCCGGGCTGTCTGGTTCTGGGTGCGGCTCGTCCTTGATGTCGTGGAAGCTGGAAAGGTCTGAGGCCAGACCAGAGTCAAAGAAAGTGCTGTCTGGAAATAGAACAAGGGGCTCCTCGCTGGGGGCCAGGACCAGGCGCTGCTTGCGGCGGGAACTGCTAGCTTCTCTCTTGGGGTGGGACACTTGTTCCCCTGGAGTCTGGAAGCCAAAGAGACATACATGAAACAAAAGCTGGCCTTTTTGTAAGACTAACCACAACAAAACCAGGCTATTAATCCCATGGCTCGGCCTTACCTTGGGGGCAATGCGAAGTATCTTGCCTCCACCGGGGGCTGAGATGCAGCTATGCTGAATGGCTGCAGGAGGCAAGTTTATGGGTGACAGGAAGAGAGATGGGGCAAGAGGGAGCTGGACAGGGACCAGGAGGGAGTTTGTTCGAGGCAGAAGAGGCTTCATCTTCCTCTCTGAGAATAAGGTACCGGGGAAAAAAATAAGAAAACACACCAGAGGATTAAAGGAAAAAGAAAAACACTACAAACAAAAGCTAAATCCATGAGCAGGATACGACCTAGAGCTTTACAGGGGTCACAATCATTTTTGCTACTCACCAAAGCCACCAACAGCTGGCACCTTCTTAACTTCAGCAGTAATTTGCTTCTTTTGCTGTGGGGAGAGATCACATTCTTATCCAGAGGGATTACATGGTTCATGTTCCCTGCCCATATGGCAACGACATCAATAGCTGGTGACAACAGCCTGATTAGACCTGCTTTGAAGTAACAGGTCACTTAAATCAACTGCATGGCAGCAAGAACAATCGTGACTGCTGGTGTCTGAACACTCCTTCCTGTTGCTACTTTCTATTAGTGCTACAAGAGAACTTCAAGACACAGAAGGTGGGAGGTTGGGCTCCACAGAGGTGCTGGAAAGCCTTACTTGTTGTTCAGAGACTTGTGGTGCGAGTGGGGAAGGTGATACCGTTGAGTCCACTGCCATCTACAGAGGGAAGCAGGAAATAAACAGAATATTAGACTGACAAATCATTTATTTAACATGTCTGGTACAGTATAGGATGCACAAGGTGGCTGTGTGGAAGATGGACTTGTAACCTGAGAGCTGCTGATTCAAGTTGCAATAGGGCCCCTATGTAGGTAACCTGTGATCAAGGTGCTTAACTCTAATAGATCAAAAGTCCAGCTGTATAAATTGGTATTTTTAAGTTTATCTAAACAAAAGCACTGAATGAGCACAGATATCACAAAATCATTAAAAGGCTTTTATATAACAACAATAATAACAATATGCTTATTCAATATCGTGAAGGCACACTGAATGTTGTGCCATCAAGTTGACCATATGATTGTACAGTAACACTTACCCTATAGACCTGATCCAATGTCAGGCACCGATTAGCCTCAGGACGAATGGTCCAGTATGATATCTTGCCATCATTAGTGGTCTCACGAATGAACATATCATGCAGGGAAAGATTGTGGCGGATGGAATTCTGAGTGTCATGAAAATAAAATGAGAGCACCAATTAAAATCAACACAAGCCCCAAATCCTCAATAAAATGTGTCAAACAGTGACAACTATAAGCCAATAATATACAATCAGCTGCCTGGTTCAACACGAGGACCATGTGTACCTTCCAACCAGGCTTTGCCACATTTCGGAAATAAGGAAAGTGATCCTCAATCCAGGTGTAGATCTCCTTTAAGGTCATTTTCCGGTTCTTTTTGCTGTTAATAGCGAACTGGATCATGGCCATGTACGAATATGGCGGTCTCTCTGACAGTTGATCTTTAGTAGTGGGAAGCACCACTTCTCCTGTGGGCTAAAGGAGAAATGTATTTTCAAGCTTTGGTAAATTTGTAAATTTTCAAATAGGAGACTGACCTGGGTGGTAAACAACACCAGAATAGCTTCAACAAACACAATTACCTGGGGAAGTTTAGGGTTCAATTCCCGGGACTCCTTTTTGTAAACTTTCTGAACAGAGTTTGATTCCAAGCCATCTGTGCTCATCCTTCCCAACCATTGGATGTTTGTCAGGCTGTCATCTAGAGGGTTGCAGTCCAGCCCTTTGTTCACTATAAAATATTACTACATGAGACATCCAAGGGCTTGCAAGAAGCACATGTGACAACTTAAGGCTGTTGCAACAGGCATTGTCAGGTAACAATAATACATTAATTAATTCCAGGAGAGAGTAGTGAAATATGACTGACTCACGTGGTTTTATTGCCGTTAGGGGCTTGGCTTTTTCTTGACAGTCTGTCCCAGACTTTTCGAGGAGTCCATACCCCACCTGTGTACTCAAAGGCCCTGGATTCCTTATATCAAGTGACGGCTGGCAGAGAGACTCTGGTTTGTCTTCTGAACTATTTCTACTAAGCAAGATGAATTTGTTGGGACCTTCTGGGCCACGTTCTTTGCCTTTGGCAGTGAGGGTATCAATAACACTTTGGAGGTCAGCAGTCTTGGGGATGATCAACACTTGTGTGTCTGGCATGGAAGGGTGGTCCATGACACGGACATTCTCAGGGATGCACTGCAGTCTGTCTGGCTCATCATATGAGACACGAACCTCTTTCTTTTCCAAGGGTAGTTTCCTCTTCCTTAGGATCAGGGGCCGCCTGGGGCTCTCATCCATTCTGCTCAAATGTCAATCACTGGATGTGTGCTCTGATGGACTGACTGAAGAATAAAATGAAGGTGACACTATTTCACAACATAACTTTTAATATATGTCCAATAGACAAAGTCATTTAGATGAAAGAGCATTCCAAAATGTGTAACTTATTGAAGACTATGGTGCTTTAAGTGTAACTTACAAAACTACTGCATTTCAGAAACAAGCTGCACCTAAATATTAAGTTGTCCTTCCGTACATTGAGCAGCTTGAGTGTTGACTCATTGTCGTCATCGATTAGATCGATTCCCGCATTTTTAATTTTTAGATAAAGGTCCCATGTGTAATCAATATTGTGCACAGAAACCCATGATCTATGTTAAATAATTATATAACGTACAATATGTCAACAGAGCCGACTTACCCAGCACAAAAGCTTGTATGTACCGGATAATGTTTATTAAATCAAAACAAAAAAAATGACAGTTGAAATGAGAAAATAACGATCTAATGACTTTTTTAAAACGTCAGTTTAGGTGTTGACGTATCGCCTTCTAGAAAAATGAACCGTTAAACTTATAACTAGTACTATGACCAGCAAACTGAACGTCAAACTATGCAAACGAACATTTGGCCTTATCACAAAGTTTTTGCAATATCTGACAACTGGTTAGATTGGTCAGCCACGCAGATATATAAACCACTGTCGATACGCCACATGTATATACTCAGATCTTGCTAACATACATAGCCAATGTAATCTTAGGTAGACATAATTATTGTATTTCAAATACAATGCTTGAGTGCTAACCATTGCTAGCTAAAGCTAGCAAGTTATGTTCTGTGGAGAGCAATGGTTTCGCTAGCAGGCCGAGTTACTAAGAACTAATATTCACGAACTATCCAGATGTTTCGTAATTTTTATTGCTCATTCCTATTAGCGATAACGGTAGAAAATTCACAGACTAATTCATCTTACAGAGTAATTGCGTGATTTACAGTTAAAAATCTATTAGCGTGATAGCACCCGGCAGTACCGCTACTGTATACTGACAATGTTAATTTAACACAAGCAGTTGTACTTAACAACGAACACGTTAATGAATCATGATCAAACCTTCATATTAGGAGAGTGTCCTTATGTAGCAATAATCTGCCGCTTCCTTACGCGGTGTCTTTATATAAGTACCTATTAATTCATGTGTATAGCTAGCTAATGAATTCAACCACTTTCTCATTCGTTTTGTGTGGTCGTTTGAATTTTGGCGCAGTCCTACTTATGCCAATCACGTGAATGACACATAACCAATGGGATCAGAGACGGGCGCTTCCGTGTTCGACGGCGAACCAATTAGAATACAGAGTACAACTAGCCAAAAGATGGAAAGGCAAATCCTTTGCAAAGCGTCTGGTTTCCTGCTTACGCCGAAGATTGCGGAAATTTTCGAATTAATAAAAGAGACATATGACATTGACGGGCTATATTCTTCGGTATGTGGGACATTGCTTTAGTTTTTTACTCAAATTAATGATTTTGGTTCTTTCGTTAATGCTTACAAAGACGTTTTCTCCGCCTCCCTTGTGGAGGTTATGTTATGTGCTTTGTGATTGTCACGGCATGTTTTGTATTTCTTAGCTGGGTGTAGCAAGCTGGACAGCTGTGTGTGTTATAAAGTTTTATTGAACAACACGCTGTAAAGTAATTCAAAACGGCCATGCTGGCTGTTTCCGATGCCCCGCAACAAACCGAAAAAAAGACTGAACAGCCGAAAGCCTCAGTTGCTGTTCATTGAGCCACCGCTAAGTGGAGCCAGGCACCCCCATGGGTCACAAGTACAGAGCGCTGCTAACCCCAGACTCTTCTTATCAACAAACCAGCGTCAAAGTAGCACGCGCAACTCTTCATGGGTAATATAAAACTACTTTGTATTAAAAAAAAAAACATATAAATTATTTATTTTTCTGTTAATGCATATTGCTTATTTTTTCTGCATTTATGCTATCGTGTAATCCCTGACTTTATACTGCATATATGTCTTAAGTTATCATATACATACATTCATGTCACTGCCCAGTAATCTTGTTTTTCCCTATGTCCCCCGCACTTGCTTTCAGGTAATGCCTCAGTTTGATACCAACTTGCAGCTGCAGAGCTTTGGACTTCAAAAGGGAAGGCGAAGGAAGGGTCACAAAGCGGACAGCAGTATTATGAACAGGAGTTCCACACTGTGTTTACCTCAGCCTAAGAAAACAAGTGTCTGCAAGTTTCCTACACTTACCTTTGATACTAGCACTTCTTCTCCAGCTGAAGGTCCTGCTGTTACATATGGGCTTAAGGTCCCTAACCCCCACATGGATGAACTTGAGACCAATCATGTGGCAGGTCTAGCTAGTAACGCAGCACCTCCCAGTATCGAGAGTAGCAGTATGATGGAAACACCAAAGAAGGTTACATCTCTTAAGAGACGTACTATAAAAGATACAGCCTGCAGAATAATCACACCTGGGGTCGCAGCCTCTACCAGGGACACTGAAGCACAGCTGGCTGACAACTATGGACATACCAGTGGTCCAGCATATATGATCACACCAAATAACATGAAAAGCAATCACATGGACAGTGTTTTCACTCCCCCTGACTTAGATACTCCAGAAACACAAGCAAGTAAGAACTCCAAACTCCATTTTCTGCTGCCAGACTCAACAGAAATGGTATCTTATAACCAGCCTGCAGAGATTTTAGTGATGGACACCCCTGAACAGGACTATGGAGTGAAGGTTACTTGGAGGAAGAGGAAACGACTAATGAGGTTTCTCATGGAGCAAGGGCAACTGTCCAGCACTGAGACAGCCATCAATAAGTAATAATGGACCTGTACTCATAGTCTATTGTCAGTGAATATGTATTTTTCTCTCCCTGGTCAACAGACTGCAAAACTGGTTTGTCAACAAATATCAGCCTGTAATAAAATGTCATGTATCCAGACCACAAAATAAAAGGACTGTTGTTCTGGATGTTTTTTTAAAACGTTTGCACATTTATTTGTATTAAGGTATTCAAATATTACACGATTTTTATTACTATACAGAGTTGGATCCATTTTCAGATTAAGGTTTACCTAATTCTTATAACAAACAATTTGCGCTGAAATTTTTATAGAATATCACATTCACGCCTGGAACTTACAATTACATAATATGTTGAAAGGCTGACCACTAACCCTTGACAATGATAGTATTTTCACAATGTGATTTTAGCCAAAACGAAAGGGAACACTTTGGCTTTAGTGGTAGCGTATTTAAACACTTCGTTTACAGGTGCGTTAGTAAATGATTATGAAATACCTTAAGTTAAAGATCATTACAATCAGCCCCCAGAGCAGAATATAAGCAAATCCATGCTCTTAAACAGAATAAAACTAATCTTTCGAAAACTTGCTTCTGTGCCGTGCAGTCAACTGAAAGACTATCGCACATACGTCACCGTTGCCTCCAAACGAAGCCGTTCCACTTTTTTAGCCAATCACAACGGAACTACAAAACCTGCCGACCAATGAGGCTGACTGTTGCATGTCGGTCCCGTTACCAGGGCTGAAGAACTTATTCGTTCAGCGTCAACTACAGATCGCTGCTCAGTGAGGCCAACAGCTGGGGGACCCATAGCAACCGCGCATAAACATGAGTTACTACAGCATCAGGTAAGCTAGCTAATACAGATGGATACGTAGGAATTTGTCGACTAGTGTTGTTTATTTAATCTATACCGTGTAAAATCTTCGTTTAGTGACGTAAGAAAGAGATCGGCGATGTTTTATTGGGAGCAATGTGCCTTATGTATGTAGAGCGGGGTGTCCGCGGACTTGCTTAGATTTCTGAGAGGACATTGCTGGATCCCAGGAAGCAGGCGGGCAACTATGGCTTGCAGGAATCCCATTAGCTGTCTTTTCACATCTTTCGCCAGAAACTGCTATATATAAAATATGTATGCTCAATATAAATTGTTACCTTTTTTAAATTTTTTTAAGAATAGTTAGTTCTGAGCCTAATACGATTATTCAGCAGCACCCCTCTCTCTGCCCATTTAACTTCTGGAAAGTTAGCTAAATCTTATTCGCTAGTTGATGCACCCGGGCCAGCACATAAATTAACTAGGAGAAATAAAGTAGTTTAAAATGTTTCGGTATATTTATTTAGAAAGGGGGGGATGCTAGTGTGTATACTTTTGCTGTGCTACCCAGTTTAAAAAAGTTGATGTAAACAAAGCCAAATTTGCCGTTTAAAATGTAGAAACTTCTCCATCTTCGTCTGGCGGTAATGTTTACCGTTACCGAGGTTAATATTTAAACAAGAGGGGATAACAGACCATCAGAGCATCGGGTTGCTGCCAATCAATAATCCATTGAGCGTGCGGCGCTGCCGGTGATACAGAGTGTCGGGCGGCCCTGATTCTACCGGGATGCTGCGAGCGGGGCCGGGTGTCCGAAGCGCAGGAAACCAGCCTGGGAAAACCTGGGTCAGCCTTTCTACTTGACATAATTTCTCCTGGTTTAAGATTAAGATTAACTTTATTGATCCCAGGGGGAAATTCTGGTGCATACAGAAGCAAGAACATAGTGCCAAACAGACAAGATGCAGAGACAGTAAATAAGTGCAAATAAGTGAAAAGTACAGAAATACGTGAAATGTTCTGGAAAGAAACAGAATGTCTTATTAAGACTAAATATTTAAAGATGAAAAGAATAATTATGTATAAAGCTAATACAGATTAATTTAATTTGCGCAACATTTTTGTGAGTTAGGATCAGGATAAATGGATATGATCATGACACCTGATGGTTTTTAAAGACAAGTACTTAAGTTAAAAATCTTGCAAAATAAGATGGCCGAACCAAGAATGATGTGTTAAATGTTTCTGTGTTGTTTATTACTGAACCTAACAGAAAGCACCACTCTGCTTGTTCCAATGTGTCAGCAACATCAGTCCTCATTTTGAAGGGTATTCTGGCCAACATTGACTGTTCAGTTAAGCTGACACGTAATTAATAATGGAAGCTAGATGAAGGAGATGCTTGTATATTTCTCCAAAGATGCATGCTTGCAGGGATCCTCTGACTTCTAACATTTTGAAAGATTGCCATCCTGGATTCATAGTCATGTTTTGCGTATGGCTGTCATTTGCCTCATCCCCTGAACATCTGTGAATTTTGAGACCCCTCTTTTTATGACTGAGTGCAGAGCTGTTAAAAGTTATGTAAATGCTGGAAGCTGAAGGGGATTTTATTTGTGTTACTGTACTCTCAGCGCATGTATTTTTTTTTAAGTAAAAGGAAAGTTTTAGCTTAATTTTCAGGAACATTGTTTTAATGTCTAACTGCCTGACTGTATTCGCCGTTTTCTATCAGTTTTTTTTTTTTTTTGCAGGCTTTAGATGTCACACAGTGTGCTTTCTCTCAGAACACTACAGTGAGAGGGAAAAAATTAGCATTTTATTCACAGCTGACATGGTTTTCTGATAAGCGTATGTCCCCTGCAGTGTGGCTTCCTCTGATTAGGGGGGGGG